TGGGATTTCAGGCGTGAGCCACCACACCCGACCAGGTTGTTTCTGGTTTTGTTTTTATTTTGTATTTGGTATTTTAATTAGTATATGTTGCAGGTTATGTTTTTGGAAGCCAAGGTTGAGGCTGAATTTGGGGTGCGAGCTATTTATGAGGGATTAGCACTTCGAAAAGGAAAGTGGATGAAACGGTGCTGGGCAGAGGGAGAAGCACAGCACTTTGGAGCGTTTCAACCAAACCAACAGGGAGCTCTGGGTTCAAACAATGCCAGCCCTGGGAGCTGTCCAGCATTGGACTGCCTGCCACAGGGTCCTGTAGAGCACCACCTTCTTCAGTCACTGGCAGTCAACCCTGACATGGGTGTGACCTCGGGAAGTGGCTGTCTGCAGGTTACACTCCCCACGGTGGGTCACCACATCCTTCCTAGAAGGGGGACCTGGGTAGCTCTCTGTGTGTTTACCACACTCTTGCAGTGTATTCACGTATTAATTTGGAGATAATCAACATTTTGACATAGATGAATCTTCCATGAAAAGAACATGGTATTATGATATTTCTCCATTCACTCACTTTTTTTTTTCAGTCTGGTTCAGCAGGTTTGAAGCTTTTTTTTTTTTTTTTTTTTAAGTTCTGGGATACATGGCTGAACGTGCAGGTTTGTTACACAGATATACATGTGCCATGGTGGTTTGCTGCACCTATCAACCCATCACCTAGATTTTAAGGCCCACATGCATTAGGCATTTGTCCTAATGCTCTCCCTCCCCTTTCCTCCGACCCCCCAACAGGCCCCAGTGTGTGATGTTCCCCTCCCTGTGTCCATGTGTTCTTATTGTTCAACTCCCACTATGAGTGAGAACATGCGGTGTTTGGTTTTCTGTTCCAGTGTTAGTTTGCTGAGAATGATGGTTTCCAGCTTCATCCATGTCCCTACAAAGGACATGAACTCATTCTTTTTTATGGCTGCATAGTATTCCATGGTGTACATGTGCCACAATTTCCTTATCCAGGCTATCATTGATGGGCATTTGAGTTGGTTCCAAGTCTTTACTATTGTAAACAGTGCTGCAATAAACACATGTCCATTCACTCTTACATGTATGTATTCATCCATTTGAGTACTTATTGAGAGTCTATGGTATGCCAAGCACTTTCCTTCCTAAGAGGCAGAGTTCAGGAGTTCAAAAGTGAGCAGACAAACACGGCCTGCCTTCATAGAGTGTGCCTTCTAGTGGGTGACCAATCAACAAAATAAATGAGTAAAATACCCGTATGTCACATGGCAACAGTGCTTTGTGGGAAAAGAGCAGGGATATGAGATAGGGTCGATTTTTAATGTCCCTCAAGAATAGGGCCATTCTCACATTGCTCTAAATAAATACCTGAGACTTGGTAATTTATCAAGGAAAGGGGATTAATTGCCTCGTAGTTCTGCAGGCTGTGCAGGAAGCCTCTGCTCAGTTTCTGGGGAGGACTCAGGAAACTTGACGATCATGGTGGAAGGTGAAGGGGGAGCAAGTGCCTCACATGGTAAGAACAGGAGCAAGAGAAAGCCAGGGGATCAGATTTTAAATGACCAGATCTCACGAGAACTCCCTCACTGTCATGAGAACAGCACCAAGGAGATGACGCTAAACCATTCATGAGAAATCCACCCCGTAATCCAATTACCTCCTACCAGGCCCCACCTCCAACACTGGGGATCACAATTCAAGATGAGATTTGGGCAGGGACACAGATCCAAACCACACCAGAGTGTCAAGAAAGGCCTCACTGGGAAGGCAATATCTGAGCAAAGTTTGAAGGAGGCAAAGAAGCAAGTCACAAGGGGCTCTGGCAGGAAGAGTGATCCAGGGAGAGGGCAGAGCAGGTGTAAAGGCCCTGAGGTAGGAGAACGTCTGGTGCATATGAGGATCATCCATTTGACAGAGTTGCCAGAGATTTTATAGAGAAGTGAGTCAGGGAGGAGAAGAGTAGACAAGCGATGGGGGAAAATGTGGGCCTTGTTGGCTGTTATTAAGGATTTGTTTTTACT